CCTGGAGCGGGGACGCTGGGCCGGGAGCGCACAGAGCCTGAACACGGGCGGGTGGGGCCGTGCCGGAGAGGGCGGACACAGTGGCCTGGGTGACAGCGCCCTCCCCTGCAGGAGGTCACGAAGCAGCTCACAGTGACAGAGCTGATGGACCTGGCCTGGACCGCCGTCGATGGCCTGGGCGCCACCAGCCCCTTCTGCGTGCGGGCGGCCGCAGAGGCCCTGCTGGCCGTCGTCCAGGAGCATGGGGCCCAGCTGGAGACGGTGAGCGCGGGCGGGCGCGGGCGCACGGTCCCACACCTGGCCGGGCCAGCTTGGGGGCACAGGCCACGCCCCACCTCTGCAGCCCCAGCAGCCCTGGGCCAGGGGCCTTGCCGGGTGCTGGGCAGGCACGCTGCCTGGCGCTCCAGGCCCAACTGGGGACACGGCTGGGGACGGGGCGGTGTGGGAGGGGCACAGCCCGGCCCTCTGGAGCTCTCTGTCGATGAGGGTCGGCACCCGGCACGGCGGCGCGGTGCCCGAGGGCTGAGCGGCCTGGCATGAGCGAGACCCACAGTGGAGGGGCAGGACCGTGTCTCCCTCTGGCCCCCAGGACGGGGCCCTGGCACAGGCCCCCAGGACTCACCAGGCAGGACCCCAAGTCTGGCGGGCAGCCAGGCCCCTCATGGCCCCTCCGTCCCGCGCAGGTCGCCCACCTGGGCCGGGCCATCCACCTGCGTCTCTGCTCGGTCCGCATCCCCCAAGCCAAGGAAAATACCCTGCGCGCCATCACCCTGCTGGCCCGCAGCCACGCCTCGGAGCTGGTCACCACCTTCCTGGACATCTCCATCGCCCTGGACAGGTACCTGGCCCCTCCCTCCTGCCCCTCCACCTCAGCTCTGCCCTGCCGTGTGCCCCCAGCGGCCGCTGGACCCCACGCCCCTGTCTGGAGCCCCACCCTCCCGGCCAGCTCAGGGCCCGCGGCACAAACCTCCCAGCCATGACCATGGTCCAGGAGGACCCGCCCCGGCCCCCTGCCAGGCCCCAGCCAGCGCCCCAGCCTGGGCCGCAGGCAAGGACCCTGCGCGCACCCTCTGGCGGGGCAGCCTCCCCGAGGGGACGTGGTGCTCCGCAGCACCCAGCGGAACCCAGGCTGGGTCTGTACCCGCCTGCCCCCCACGCCGGTGATGCCCCGCCCCATCCGGGCGTGAGCTCTGGCCCCGCCTCTCACCC